GTACGCGTCAGCTCTTCATTCTCTCGTTGCAGACTTTAGTTGTTCCTTTTCTCCCTATAGTACTTGTTCTTCCACATTTTTTCTCTTCCTTAAGTTCTCTTACTCTTTCTTTGAGTAAATGTTTTCCCTCCTTAGTCTGTTTATGCCGGGGATGAGATTAACCTGCTCAAAACAATTCTTCAGGTACCACACTGTATCTAATTGGTTACTAAAGCTGGCAATACGGGGCTATGTTGCCTGAGAGGTTAAAATAAAAAGAGTAGCGTCTTCCATATTCTCATTTATTGTCTTTTAATGGAGGTTTTGATGCATTTTTCTAACTTTTGTGTGAATGTATTTAGGAAAAACAATTCTGGTGATTGTTGGCATATGAGGCAAGGAGATTGAAATACCCATAGAGGATAATGGTCCTTCTTATTTTAATGATGGTCCTCTCTAGCTTTAATTGTTTTCAGATGACATGTTCCTTAATGCTCAGTTAATAGATGTTGTCAGTGTGTTAGTGTAACACTAAAGGAATAATAACTAATAGAAAATATTACCACAAAACATTAATATCACTGCCAAAAATGGAACAGTTAGGGAAATAAATAACCAGTAGAAAATATTACCATAAAAAAAATATTACTACCAAAAGAAATTAATATCAAGTGTAATTAGAACACCTTTTGGCTCATCGGCATCAATAACAAAACTTCATCATTTTGACAAACAAACATCCAAGCCTCTTTCGCTCTGAGTAGAAGCCATGTTTGCTCGCTTCCAGGGCCACCATGTGGAACTGTTTGGGGTCGCAAATAACTGTTTGGTTTTGCACGTGATGCGGTTTTTTTCGATTGCAGGAGAAGTTAAGGGGGCAACCCAAAGGGTTTTTTGGCCATAAAGTGGAAAAAGTAAGGCACGATCCTGCCTTAATCTTAAAAGGTAAGAATTTTCCCTTGGGAGGATTGAAGAAGGTAGTGTGATACTGATGGGCCATGACCTTATTTTAAGTACAGGTGTCACATGGCTGAGCTTCCACTCTGCGGGCCTCTCAGAAGTACTTCTGCAGAGATTAAATAGCTTTGTCAGGTGAACTGCAATAGATGACGCTTATAATTTTGGTCTTGTTGCTCTTTCATGTATTCTTGTGAGTCAAGTCACATACCCAAAAACCAAAAGTTAATATTGCTATGAAAAATGGAGTAATAAAGTAATGAAAATTCTTCTATTCTATCTCAAGATTTCTTTTTTGTAATTTTAAATTTTGTATTTTAACTGTCTGTGTCCTCGTAGGGAGCTGAAAAAAAAAGTTTGTGTGTGGGTGGCGGGAGCACAGAAGCTCACAGTACTATATATTCTTATTACCTACCAAGGTTGAATTTTTTAATATTGTGGCGGACTCTTTTTGCTGGCAACGGTGATTATCCCCTTTCGTTAAGTCGCTTTTCTAGCTTTTCAGCTCTAAAAAAGACTATCCGCTTTTCTTTTCGCCACATGGGCTTAATGCTTTTGCAGCTTTTTAGCTCTAAAAAAGACTACCCTTTTGTCCTTTTGGCTCAAACCAAAAGTTAATATTACTATGAAAAATGGAATAATAAAATAATGAAAATTGTTCTGTTTCTATCTCAAGTGTTCTGTCTTGTAAGTTTGTATTTTAACTGTCTGTCCTCATAGGAAGCTGAAAAAAAAAAGTTTGTGTGTGGGTGGCAGGAGCACGGAAACTCACAGTGCTATATATTCTTATTACCCACCAAGGTTGGATTTTTTATTATTGTGGCGGACTCTTTTTGCCGGCAAAGGCCACTTTCCTTTTTTAAGAAGCGGCTTTTTGTGCTTTTCAGCCCTAAAGGCGACTAGTCTTTCTTCTTTTCTCCACGTCCGTTTTATTAAATTAAGCACCTAGTTACATAGACAAGAAATAAAATAAATAGATAGTAACATGTACTAGTTTTGTTTGATATTTAATATTGATTTAATATTTCTACCAAATATTAATGTTACTACCAAAATTGAATAGGAAAGGAGTAATAACTAGTAGTGAATATTTCAACCAAAAATTAATAGTACTGCCATAAATGGAATAATAAAGAAAAAATAACTCGTAGATAACATTACCACTAAAAATTAATAATGGTATTTAGGTCACTTCTGGGATGCAAAATATGACTACCAAAAGTTTTGAAGTGGTACGTGGTTGTAGCCTTAAGCCCATTCTAAAA